CGAACTCAAAAGCGATTGGACAGTTGAAAAGGTTCCCTCGTAAGTCAGGTCAATGTCATACTTAAAAAATTAATTATAGAAATAAAAAACGAAGAAGTCGTTTGATTTCTCTTATTTTCTTTAAGAATACTTGATCTCGCACTCATATATTCATACTTAATCAAATTCTTTAAAAACAAAAGATCTTGTTAAATTCTTCTGATTCTTTCAATTTTTTTCTCTAAGAATATTTTTTTTTCTAAGTCATTCTTAAACAATATAATCCACTTATATAATGAAAAAAAAATTCTTTTAATGAATAATTTAGATTCTTTTTTGAAATTCTTTGTCAAAACTCGTACAAAAAAACGTAATGATAATAAAAATAAAAGAAACAGAAATTTTATATTCTTTAAAAGAGAAATGATTTTCTGATAAAGATATTACTTTTATACTTATGGAAATTTATTTTCATATGAATTTTCATTTACAATAAAACTTTATATATATTAAATGAAAAACTTTTTATCATAAAAATTTATTATTAATTATATTGAATTAATTTTTAAATATTGATTCTATTACTACATTAAATTACTATAATCTTTTTCGGACCCAAATTATTTCTGCTGGATTCAATTTAAGGGAGACTATGAGATTAAGTTATTTTAGACATAAATAATTCGTGTGTGCTTTCATGTGATTTAGTCTGTATACGTTTTATTGAATTTTGTTATACTTAAATGAAAATTTTAATTGCTAAAGTTTATTACTCGCAAAACTTATACAAGTTTTTTATGAAATAACAAAAAACCATTTTTATCTTTTTTATACAAAGAGAAATGCTACTAAACACTGAAGAAACTCTCGTACTACAATATCTGCATCTTCCTTTAGATGATCTAACAACAAGCATATGTGCTAATAATTAAGTTGATGGAGATTTGTTGCTCAACGTTTATTAAATTTGCTTTTCCTTTCTGATAGTAGGGTGAATAGGTCTGTTTCTTCTTTCCCATGAACTTTGGTCACCAATTAGTGACTGCAATATAGAAGAAAGGAATTTCAACGTAAGTCATATTTTGTTGACACAGATCATTGTAACAGATGAATGCATTCGAAAGACTATAAATATACGAATTCAGTTTTGTGTAGATTTTCTGTCAATTGAATAACAACAGATTCGTTGATCAGATAAATCTAGGCCATTCATGAATATGTTGTATTTAGCTACTATTTCGAGGCAAATAACACGTTGTTTTGAACTATCTTTTTCTCTTCTAATAACAATTTCTATTAATTATGTTGTGAAAAATAATTATAAAACATGTGTAGCTTTTTTCTCCTACCATGAGACTGAAAAGGTTAATAACTCTACAAATCTATGAAGAGCTTTGTATTATAAAATAAAACAAAATTTACTGTTCTGTTTGAAACTTCACTTATGTTTTCGACGACTCAAATTATCTCAATTCATAAAGAGTTATCATTTAGTTTTATAATAACCATAATAGTTTAGTCTTTTCTTAATTATCAAAAAAATTATATTAAATTCAGCTAAATTAACTTCTCGAATAATTTCTTATTCATGATTTACTTTATGTAATTGAGTTTTTCTTTTTTGAACATACACTTATTGATGAACGGACCAACATATTTATTGTTAATCTTCTTATGTCGATTATGACATAAATGATAAAATGACAAGAATGAAAAATATTCAAAGTCGACAGCTATTTGAGGGGAATTTTGAAATTTGTCCTTACGATAAATTGTCTAATTAAATACGAGATTAAATCATCAGAACTTCTTATTTTATTTAAATAGTATATCGTTTAATATAGAAGAATTTGATTCAAACTAATCTGAAAAGTAATTTATATTAAATAATTTTTTCTTCAAAAATGTTCAGAATGTATTAAAAATTAGGTAAATGATTTAGTATAGATGTAATTTTTGATTATTAATATAAACTTTTTGATCAATTATTGAATTATCTATTATGTTTTAGATTTTTATAAATATTTTTCATAATATTACCTTTATGATAGAAAACAAAAATCTTAGATCAAAAAAATATATAAATTTATGAATTCTTTAATGATTTTTTCATATATAATCTTTTGCAGAGATGAATATTTTTTGTTTAAACTCTTAGGAAACGAGATCATTCTTACAACGCTTCGAAGAAAAAATCGATTCTACATATAAACTCATCTGCATGTTTTCTACATGTCACAAAATCATATGGATATTTGATATTAGGAAAAATCTAGGAATTATTTTTCTTAATCGTATCGAATAGAATGTTGATCATTCTTTAAGAAATTAACTCAAAATTTTATTTATATTCAATGCTTCACAAACTAAAAAAAAACAGCTACGTACATCTTTTTAGTTTGATTGATTGGGTTTCGTATTTCGTTATAGTTGAAAAAATTCCTATTGTTACTTCAAACAATGCTACTTATAGAGTATTTGGAATGACTTTCAATTATTAAAACTCATAGAATTGGATATATTTAGTATATTTTTCTTTCTTTCTTCAAGTGCGTAATGAAGGTACGATAATGATAGCATGACGTTTTTTTTTTTGCAAAAACGTTATATCATATTAAAATAATAATAACTAGTTCTTTTTTGATGATCTATAATTAGTTATAAATATCTATTTGAAGTTATGGCCGGAGATGAGTTTTCAAACTTTATTATTAATACTGATTTTATTTCAATATAAACTCTGAAGATTTCAAACTGAACGTCAAAGAAAAAAAAACAACATTCAAATTGACATAACTTTCCGTTGCTCGAAGAATACAGCTTGACATTTTTCTCTTATTCATCATTATATATGCATAACAATCCTCATAGCTATTATTCTAGCATCATCTAACCACAATTTTATATATACAAAATTCTATTACATTTATTCATGTAACATGCAATCTAATTGTTTGCCTCATGTTATTTTATTTGAATTGATTTCTTTTTTACTTTTTATTTTTCTTTATTCAATTACCACTTGCCATAGACAGTTTATCTAAATGAATCACGCACAAAAAAAAATGTCAAAAAAGTAATGTGATATATGTTAACAATGTCTAGAACGATATTGCTTACAAAAACACATCTTTAATTCATTTTTGTTACCACCTGTAGCTTGTATAACAATAATTCGTACATCATTGATTCGATCAAAGTTATGCGATTCTTTTTTTTTTCTCACTGTTTTGTTCACACTAAAGTGGCAGCCGACGATAATGTATTCTAGCAGTTGAACTTATTATGTGAATGGAAAGCTGTCAAAGTCTTCCTTTTACATACAATAGTCAAATAATGTCGACTGACCACTCAACAATGCAAAAATGCTTTGTACTGATGATGACATATATCACATGTGTACAATATTTATTAGACTTTCTTTTTTCTTGTTATATACAAAATTAAATGACCGATTAATCGAATGAATACTTTCATTCAAAACAAAAAAAAAAGAAATAAAATTATCTTTCAGACGTTCCTATTCACCAGATATAATAGTTCTAATGTTCAATCAATAGAGTTATTGGCCATTCCATTAACTAGAAATAACATAGTAGTAATTGGCGTTAAGAGGAAGAGAACAAAAAAAAAAAAGAAAGAAAGAAATGAACTTTGAAAAATAACCAAAT